CAACCCTGCGTTGGACTAGCATCTCATCCATGGGGGAGTAGAAACACTCCTAGTCACTTCATGCTACAGAAACTTGGATAAGCTCCAGCTTTATGTACAGGCCACTGATCTGGCACAGACTTAACCATGATGTAGTGATAAATGCTTCAAGTCTTTTAAATACATCTCTTTATTAAACACCCCATGACAATTAATGCTCTATATTAATATCAGTTACACATCAATTTTTCTTTGTTCTTTTTGTGTGGTAGTGAAAACTGGGTTTTCTGCACTTGCCTGCATTAGGATTGATCATTCTGTTGATTTGATAGTTGACTATATAAGACTCCCTGCCAACTATCAGCTGAGTTCAAAGTATTTTTGTTTTGGTTTAAATTTTTCTTTTCCAGATTATTCAAACCAGTTTGAATGTATTTCCCTCTATCTTATATCCATTGTCCTAATTTGACATGAAGGAAAACAAAATTATCACTGAAATCAAAAGTAAAACATACGTGTAAATTAAATTTTTGTTTCTAGAATAGAATAATAGCGAATTGAAGTCTTCATTTGCAATTAGAGGGTTAACAGTTAGCTCTTATTAACCGACCAGCAGGTCTGTATGGGAGAATCTTGACCAAGGTCGTGAGTACGACTGAGGTCAAGATTCTCCCAATACAGACCGACTAAGCTTGGTTAATAAGATGTTTATTATATGGTAAACTAGAGAAATTTAATTCGTTTAATGTAACTGCGCTGTACTAGCTGACATTTTGCTTGCAAATGGCGATGAGCCGAACTTAATTCTGCCAAAGTTTGCTCGTCTTCTATACTTTTTTCTCATCAGTCTTTTGGCACTTCCACAAATAAATATTGTTAGAAGAAAATAGTCAATATTTTTGCATTTCAGTTTGCAAACTTTCTCACTGCCAAATGAAACCAGTCTAGATGCCGGTCTTGATGCCGGTCTAGATGGGAAAATCTAGACCACTTTTAATATCGATTTCAACCAATCAAATTCGTGAATTATTATTATTCCATATTGTTGCATTTTTTAAATTTTTTTTATTTTCCATTATTTTATTCCATGTCTCGCACTTCTTAAAATTGTATGTTAATTTTTCAAAATTTTGAATTGTATCACATTTTAACTTATACGCCATTGCTTGTATTATGGGAGGCGCGGTGGCCTCATGGTTAGTGCATTTGTCTCTGGATTGAGCGGTCCGGGTTCAAGCCCTGGCCGGGGACATTGTGTTGTCAACATTTATTTAACATTTATTTCTTGGCAGTGCCTGATGATGGCTTTGTGACAGTGAAGCATTGAACTCAGAGTATACAATTAAATGGCATTGAAAAAAGTGGTCTAACTCTGCAGTCCTAATTAAAGTCTTTCTTTCTATAATTTTATGTTTGTAGATTTACCAAAGCCTTCGTTAGGAGATCTATCAGATCTCAAATCTCTCAGTGTGCGGCACAGACGTGAAAACAACCCAAATGTACTGGGCTACAACTACGATGAACTAGTGAGTTTGGATACAGTTGATGTTGAACTTGTACCAGAAAAGAAAGGCATTATCTTAAAGCACAATGAGTATCATGTTTCTAGCAAGGTAAGGCCTTATAGATAGAAAATTTACTCTTGATTTTTTTTT